TTTGGTTTATTTGAATTTTAATGTAAGAATTCTTCAAATAAGTACCATGGGCAAAAGATTTCTGAACACCCTCGTAAAAGTGTTCCTCTGCAATGTGGATTTACATTTTTGAACATGTATGCTATTTTTAAGTTTAAAACTAGCATTAGAACAAATATGCAAATTAGTAACTGATTTTCCTTTTCTGTCATTGCATTAATTGTAACTGCCTTTTCAAAATTAAAAAAAAAGACTTTATTTATTATTTGACAGAGACACAGCTAAAGATGGAACACAAGCAGAGGGAGTGGGAGAGGGAGAAGCAGGCTTTCTGCTGAGCGGGGAGCCTGATACAGGGCTCATCCCAGTACCCCAGCATCATGACCTGAACTGAAGGCAGATGCTTAATGACTGAGCCAACTAGGTGCCCTGTAACTGCCCTTTACAACACCATGAAGTAAGGCTATCATGCTAGAAATGTAAATCACAAATATTTTCTTTAAAACTCAAATGTTATAGCTATATACCATATTCTATTCATTTGTGTGTATCCGTATTTTAGGAATGAGTATTGAATGAGATAATGTTGTTTTGAAACTCACAGTATGAAATAATAACCAATATATGAAATTTGAAACTCACAATATGAAATAATAAACAATTATTTATGACAATTCTGTCTTTTAATCATAATTTACTAACACCTTGAAAATGCTTTCTACACATTGTAGTAAACTGGTTTCTCTTATCACAGGTGAGAAAAACAAAGGAATTATTTATGCTCCTGAATAATGCTAGCTACCATTCCTGTGGCTGGGCTGTAGATAGCCACACGCTGGCAATTCCACAAAAACAGAAAAGCATTTGTGTTTCTTGTTTTGATTTGTCTTCTAGGTTACCAGTGCTGTTATTTTCCTTTTCTCTCAGATATCTGAGAGCAAAAATGAAAGGCCAAGGATGAAGATCCAACTATTTAACTGTCTCCACTATAATTAAATTCTGTTATCCCACAATTTGTTTCTCATTCCCTCCCAAAAATATCTAAGAAATGTTTACAATTTAGGCAATTAAAATAAATACACAATAGAAGAGAATAGAGAGGCCAACACATATATGGACAACTAATTTTTGATGAAGGTACAAAGGTAATTCAGTAGAGAAATGTCCCCAATGCTGGGACAATTTGATACCTAATTTCAATCTATATTTTATACCAGGTACAAAAATAGGTCAGATCTAAATGTGAAATATCAAAGTATAAAACTTCCAAAAAAGCATAGAAGAATATCTTCCTGATTTGGGTTTTTGATCTTGGGCTAGGCAAAGATTTCTTAGAGATGACACCAAAAACATGGTTTATAAAAGAAACAAAGATGATAAATTGGAATGCATCAAAATTACAGACTTCTTTTTTCTGAAAAATAAATCTATGAAAGACACTATTAAGAGGATAAAAAGAAAATCCACAGATTAGGAGAAAATACTTGGAGAATTTACATCTGCTAAGGACATGTATCCACATTATATAACAAATTCTCGAGACTCAATAGTAAGACCAGAACCCAATAGGAAAATGGGCAAAATATGAATAGACAGTTCACCAAAGAAGATATGTGGATGGTAAGTCACTACAAAAAAATCATATAATTATATAATTAAATGCACCCTCAGTCATTAGGGAAATGCAAAGTAAAACCAAAATGAGATACTACTTCATACCTATCAAAATGGCTAAATTTAAAAAGAATGACCATACCAAGTGTTGGTGTTCCTAGCAGGAATGCAAAATTGTACAACCACTTTGGAAAACAGTTAATTCTTAAAAAGTTAAATATACACATAGTATGTGATTCATCAATTTATTTATATAACATCCCAGAAAATGCAAACTAGTCTATACAAACAGAAAACAGATTAGTACTTGCCTAGGTAGGAACAAGAACAGGCATAATGAAACTTTTGGGGGTGATAAAAATTTTCATTATCTTGACTGTGGGTGATGAGTTAACAATATAAAGATTTATTAAAACATCACATTGTGTACTTTATGTACAGTTGTATCTATTGTACTTAAATAAAATTATTTTTAAAAAGAATTAACTTGTGTTTTCAGATAAAATCTGTCTAGATGAATAATAACAACAAAAAAGAAAAAAAGTAACTCCACAAATAAATGAAATTGCAATGCTTGGCGTCTTAAATATCTGTAACAGAGATAATGCTATAGCACTTATTGCATATTACGTATATGTGTTTGTGTGACAGGGCTGGTAGTTGGGATTGTGTATATGTTCATAAGAGGGAAGGTATAAACAGATATTTAAGAGCCATGGTCAGCCTGAATATACCAATAGATTCTGTGTTAAGCATCATCTCATGTACAAGTATGAACATTTGACCCCCAAAAAGAATATCATAAAATAATGAAACAGAGAACATACCACTATGCAAATAAATTAAAGATGGCCTTATGAAGAATAATAAGCATATTATATGCTAGAATACTTACAAAACTATTCACAGTAGAAAATATATAATATAATGAATTAATTAAATGTGTTATATAAAGAAAACACTTATGTTCTTTTAGGAAACTGCCATAATAAAATTAAGTTAACTAATAGACCAAGAAAAGCCACAAAAATGAAAGTACATTACAAGAACCTAAGGTAGCACATACACATCAAAAGTAGAGCACTATAGTTAGAAGCCACCTATAGTCTTTGGCTTGGTAAAAAGGACAACCCAAAAAATCAAAATAGTTCATTAATATCTGTATTTGAGGTTTTTTTACAAGTTTTTTTCTGTTTTTATTCTCCTTGTATCATGCCAAACTTCATTGTTTCATTATGATTAAGTACTAATCCCTGAAAAGTATTGTTTAGGTGACAATTTAAATTGAAATTAGGTAATTTATAATGAAAGCTGTAGTTAAGATGTATTTTCCAATGTTATAAGTCAGAAAGATGTATTTTCTAAAGGAGTCACAGTTGACTTAAATCAAGGCCAAAATTATTTTTCTGTAGGATTTCACCACTGATTAATTTCTTTCTTAATTCAGTGGAAAAGCAGGCAAAGGATATAAATAGGCAATTCTCAAATGGACAACAAAAATATGAAAAGACATCCAATCTTATTGCTAACCGAAGAAATAAAAATACATAATGTTAAGACATTAATTTGGGGATGTTCATTAAAGATGTGAATAGTGATTGCCTCTAAATGTGTTGTTAGTTTTCTTGTTTGGATTTTAATATATTATCTAACTTTTTTCAATGCATATCATTTTCACAAAATATAATGTTATTAAAAAACAGCCAATACCTCATTAGTTTTTTGTAGAAGAGTTAAGGCCAGTGGATCAGAAAACAAAATTTAGAAATGGAACCAAGCAGTTTGGTTAATATGGTAAAGGTGGTATTTCAAATAAGTGTGAGACAGAGAGATTATCAAATAAACAGTATAAAAAATTAGCTAGCTAATAAAAATATATTTTAAAAAATATCTGGGGGCGCTTGGGTGGCTCAGTGGGTTAAAGCCTCTACCTTCGGCTCAGGTCATGATCCCAGGGTCCTGGGATCGAGCCCCACATCGGGCTCTCTGCTTGGCGGGAAGCCTGCTTCCTCCTCTCTCTCTGCCTGCCTCTCTGCCTACTTGTGATCTCCATCTCTCAAATAAATAAATAAAATCTTTAAAAATATAATTTGAAAAAAATAAAAAATATCTGAATCCTTAACTCATTACTTACTCCAAAACACTAATTCCTGATGGTAGAAAATTTAACATGTAAATGAAACCACCATATCAAAATATAAGAGCATTCATTACAAAAAGGATATCTATCATTTCAAATGAAAATAATAAGTTGCAGAATAATATTCACGGCATAACCCCACTGATTTAAATAATTGTTTCCATAGTATATGTTTTGACTAAAATTATGAAATGAAAGAATATAAACTCAGTCAAGTTTTATTCATCATTATACTACCATCCTCTACCACATGTGCCTGACACATGGAAGGCACAAAGGCATATTAATTAAATTATTAGATAAATGAACTCTTATGCATTGTTGGTGGAACTATAAATTGTGATAACTTTTCTGGGGAGAAGTTTGGCACTATGTGTCAAAGAATTAAATGAACACACAATTTTTTCCAACACTCCTATTTCTAGGAATTCATCTTATGATTAATCTTCACAAATCCACATAGTGGGTATCCAGAGCTAATTTTTTTTAACAGGAAAAAAAAAGCATATGCTAGTGGAAAAATGGTGTGGAAAGGAGCTGCTCTACAACAGTAATCTAGTTAAATATGTTAAGTCAAATATTCCCATGGAATATGCATCTATTTTAAAATTAGATGTTGATCATGTACCATGTAAATATAGCCACAACTGATAAATGAGCAGATTACAAAACATAATGTGTTTTATATCGATAACAGTGTATATAAATAGGCAGGTGTGCCGCTGTACAAAGACATTTCTAGAAGGAAATTCATCAAAATGCTAGCAATGGTTATCATTTGATTGTTAATATTATATATTTTTACCATCATTGGAATTTTCTCTATGTTTTTTCTTTCCAATGTTTATATACCTTGAAAATTAGAAATAATAAAAGTAAATTTATTTCCAAAATTGAAAAGTGTTCCTTAACTTTTTAAAAATATATGACTAAATGACAAAGCATAAATTCTATAATAAAAAGGTAACACAAAGATTAATCTAAAGTTTAATATTTTTACTCATTTGAAGTGATAATTCATGTTTTATATTTTAATTTACTACTTGTAGTCTATGAACAGATTTAGACACTGAATGTGATTTATTAGGTTATTTTCTACATTAGTATATCAAATCACCCAAATATGGTTTTTTTTTTCTTCCACAGAAATATCAGGCTATCTTCCAACTAAGTCTTTAAAAGACTGTAATATATCCTGTGAATTTTTATCCAAATACAGATAGGTAATTCTTGTCATTCATAAAAATGGGCTAAATATATTTCTTACCTTTAATGAAAAGTAAACACTGGTCTTTTGGATTGTACCAATGGAGGTGTTCTGTAGCAGAAATGAATCCTGTAAATAAAAATAACAGATACCTGTTTTTAATCTTCATTTTACAAAAGTTTATTCACATATCACTGGATTTGTAAATCATACGTTAGTGTGGCTGGAATTTTACAATGTTAGAAGAAAACTGGTGGCAGTTGACGTTGTAAAGTATACCCTGACAGAGGATGCACTTTTCATCAGCCCAAATTCCCCCTCCCATCTGGCTGTTCATGGAATTGAAAACTGCTGCTCAGAAATATAGAGAAAACCGTCTGCTTTTAAATAATATTACCTAACTTTTGAATGCCCTTGTATTTCATCTACAAGGTTCTTGCAAGCATTGAGAACAGCTAGTGGCAAGTCAGTAGCAAGGTTGGGGTATATCATATGCCAGTTTAAAAAGAAAAATATAGCAAAAATGGTGTAACTGACTCACGGCAACATGGGTTCACAAACCTTGTAGATGGATATAAACCAGGCTTGCCAAACACCACAGATAGTACTTATTAAAACTGATACGTGGACACATTATGCCTGCTTTCTAGCCCCTTCCCCCTTTGCCAGTAAATGACTCCCTTTTTTTTTTTTTTCTCCAGTGTAAACATACACGCCCAACGGTATTTAGATAAAGAGATTTTTTGGAAAAAATCATAGTCACACTACCCAATGATGCCATTTGGAGTATTTTCATCCAATTTTTTAAAAACAGATTTTTGTCAAAAGGATTCTGACAAACCAAACGGGATTTCAGGATGAGATGATGGGAGAAGGATACCCCTCTTCCCTTGTTAGGAACGATGGCTATTATTTTTACCTCATATCTAAGCTTGTTTTTGAATTATATAACTCTAAAGACAGAATTTTGAGGGGAAATAAACGTCTTCCAAGGGTGTGTGCCTCAGCTACCAAGGAGCATCTGGGAAGGTGGGAGGGGCCTGAAGGGCGGCGGGTGCTTTTGGTTTTTCATTAGGCTTAGCGATTGTCAATCAAGCTTGCCCAGCAAATGAGGCGCGAGCTAACGGCACACTGGGAACTAAAATAAGGGCAGTTCCGACTGCAAGGGGTGGGGGCTTGAGATCTAAAGCCTGGAGAGATCTTGGGGTCTTACACTGCGCCATTAGGCTGCGGCACGCGTTGGTTGGACGCAGGTACAGTGAGAGGCCCTGCCGCCGCCGCTCTCGCCCAGGCCTCGATTGCCGCTTCCACCTCTGCGCGATCGCGGCAGCCCAGCCCAGCCCAGCCCAGCCCAGCCCAACCCAGCCCCGCCCTGCGCTACTGCTACCTTCGCCGCTGCAACTTCCTCAGCCCCGGCCTCCGCCACTACCCAAGCATCCGTGAGTCATTTTCTGCCAGTCTCCGAGCGCGCGGTTTCAGTGGTAGTCACCACATTAAGAGGTTTCCAGGTTGCAAAATGGCAGAAGCGGATCTTAACATGGTCTCAGAACCAGCCGCCCAAGGGGTTGCTGAAGAGAAGATGGCTAGCTCGTCTAGTGATTCTGGGGAAGAATCTGACAGCAGTAGCTCTAGCAGCAGCACTAGTTGCAGCAGCAGCAGCAGCAGTAGCCGCAGCCGCTTATATAGAAAAAAGAGGGTATCTGAACCTTCCAGAAGAGCACGGCGGTCTCCGTTGGGTAAAAGTTTCGTGGATCGGCTGCCTCAAGCAGTTAGAAATCGTGTGCAGGCGCTCAGAAATATTCAAGATGAATGTGACAAGGTAGACATCCTGTTTTTAGAGGCAATTCACGATCTCGAAAGAAAATATGCCGAACTCAATAAGCCTCTGTACGATCGGCGATTTCAAATAATCAATGCAGAATATGAACCTGCAGAAGAAGAATATGAATGGAATTCAGAGGATGAGGCGTTCAGCAGTGACGAGGAGGTGCAGGAAGACATTAGTGAAATGCCTGCCTTAGAGGGTGACGGAGAAGATGTTGACCTTAAAGAAAAACCTGAGGTAAGCGCTGAAGAAAAAGAGGTTCGAAAAGAAATTCCTGAGGCAAAGGCTGAAGAAAATGCAGAGTCTAAAGATTTTCTGGGGGTAAAGCCTGAAATGAAAGAAGAGCCTAAGGCAGAAGATAAAGAACAGCCTAAAGTAGCCGTGGCTAAAGCAAAGGCTGCTGGAATAGAGGCTCCTAAAAGAATTCCTGAGGTCAGGCCCAAAGAAAGAGCGAATCTTAAAAGAGCTCATAAAGGAAAGCCTAAAAAAGAAGATCCTAAAGGCATTCCTGACTACTGGCTGACTGTTTTAAAGAATGTTGACAAGCTTGGGCCCATGATTCAGAAGTATGATGCCCCTATTTTGAAATTCTTGTCAGATATTAGCCTAAAGTTCTCGAAACCTGGCCAGCCTATAAGCTACACGTTTGAATTTTATTTTCTACCCAATCCATACTTCAGAAATGAGATGCTGACCAAGACATATATAATAAAATCAAAACCAGATCACAATGATCCCTTCTTCTCTTGGGGATGGGAAATCCAAGATTGCAGAGGCTGTAAGATAGACTGGAAAAGAGGAAAGGATGTTACCGTGACAACCACCCAGAGTCGCACAACGGCAACTGGAGAAATTGAAATTCAGCCAAGAGTGGTTCCTAATGCATCATTCTTCAATTTCTTTAGCCCTCCTGAGATTCCTAAGATTGGAAAGCTGGAACCACGAGAAGATGCTATACTGGGTGAGGACTTTGAAATTGGTCAAATTTTACATGATAATGTCATCCTGAAATCAATCTATTACTATACAGGAGAAGTCAAAGGTACCTATGATGATGGTAAAGGTTATGGAAACAGAAAATATCGAAAATAAAAAAAGAGGCTGCCTGAAAGAATTTTCAAGCCTCTCAAAACGTCAAGCAGCAGTGAATCAGGTTTATATAGCCTCAGGCAAAATGGGAGGACTGCTGTATAACCTCAACACTAGCATTTCTTACAGTCTTGTGTTTTCATATTTTCTTGGTAGTCTAAAAAATTGTCTTTCAGTATCCAAGTATCAGTATCTAGCCTGTTGCAGGGTAATATTCTTCAAAATATGTAAATGCTGTCAGTTACCTAAAGCATGCTCCTTTGGTGCTATAGAGTTTTGTTTTTGCAAAGTCCTTTAGTTATGTTCCTATTAGAATGTAGCTGTGAAAACTGTCATGTCAATTGAGACAAATATTTGCTTAAAAAAAAAAAGAGTCCTGAAATACCAATGCAAGTGTTTTTTTTTCTTTTCCCAGCCCAGAAAACTAAACGTTTAAATCTGCTTGCACTAGCTGTGCCTTCATTACTTTGCTATAGATATACAGTACTTACATTAACTAGAACAGCTGAACCATGAAATTTGACTGCTTGAAAAAAGATTAGCATAAATTTAAGAATGTCCATCATTCTTATGGTACTATGGCGTTTATTTGTGTGACATAGTGGTCTATAAATAAATACTAACAAAGTTATTGTTTACCACTGAAGGGTTAATATGACAGTATTTTTTAAAAGTTTCCTCATCTTATACTGTGTAATTGTAAACTAAAGTTACTAACCACATTTTCTTTGTAATATGTTGTATTTTTTCTTTCACTGAGATGATCACTTTATATCATTTGATATTTTTTTCATGTTGTTCTATTGCATCCTAAAATAAATGCCAAATAAAGTGTATCATGCCATAAAAATCTAACATTTTTCCTAATTATAAAAAATGTGGGTCTTCTAGAAAAAGTAGAAAATACTGAAGAAAAGGAAATTTAAAAAGAATATATAACTATTATTAACATTCTGATATGTTTCCCAGATCTTTGCTCTTCTTTGCATAATACACATTCGAGTGATTGGAGAGAAAGAGAACAGGGGAGGAAGGCTAAGGGAGAGGAGAAGGGGGGAGAGAGGAGGAAGTAAAAGAAGGAAAAAGGAGAGGAGGAAGGTGAGAAGGAGGATGGAAGGAGAGTGGGTGGAAGGGAGGGGGAAGGGAAAGAGAGTAGGGGAGGAAGGGAAAGGAAGGAGGGTGGGGAGTGGAAGGGATAGGAGGGAGTGGGGATAGGCAGAAGGGGGAAGAGGTAAGTAGCACCTCACCCAGAAAGGACATCTGTATAAGCTGTTGCTTTCACTTCCAAGAGTAGGATGGGTAAATGACATACACCCCCAGATGTGGCATTTTTTTTTTAATAGATGGCAACAGACTTTCACCTCTTCAGACCTTGCAGCTAGTTACAGGGTAATGAGATCCTGAGATTTTGGGGTTGAGGCTCCTTAAAAACTCAGCTTACCAGAGAGGTTTGCACAGGGCAGAAAGGCACAAGCACAACAAATAGTAAAATAGGCTTTTTAAATATAATTTTATTTTTTTTCAGTGTTCCAAAATTCCTTGTTTATGCACCACACCCAGTGCTCCATGCAATATGTGCCCTCCTTAATACCCACCTCCAGGCTCACCCAACTCCCCACACCTCTACCCTCCAAAACCCTCAGTTTGTTTCTCAGAGCCCACAGTTTCTTATTGTTTGTGAGAGTCAAGTAGTATTTTATTTCACATTTGCTGTTTCCCCGTCCATGTACATTTTCCTTCAAAACCTGAAGGAAAGAGCTGTGACAGGAGGATTTGGGGAATTCTGGGTCTCTAGGTATAAAATTACCTGAAAATCTTTCCAAATCCCATCATATAGTTTAATACCTTGCTTTTATCCCTGCCTAGCCTCATATCTATAAATGTAGAAAAATTACAATCCATAACACTGTATTTAACCAATCATATATGTTTAGATATTTAGGTTGCTAGGATTTATACAAAATCAGGAAGCAAATTAATTGCTTTTAGCAACACCACTGCAATTTTGAGTTTCTTTCTTTTAGTTCTGAGATATCCGTATCCATCAAGAAAGGGTATGGTAACAGATTTACTTATATACCAGGGCCAAAGTGAAGACTATAATAAATATGGTGTACCTGGATCTCTACTGCAGAGTTTCCCAAATTGGAGGTATACTGTGCTTGCCAGATAACACAGCAGAGCCCTTACAACTTCTACATGGAATGTAAAACCTTTATCGCATCTCAGAACACTTACTGAAGTATTTAGACCCTTCCCACTCTGTATTTTCCAATATTAAAGGAACACATCTCAGAATATTTGCGGAATATGTAGAATATATTCTATATATTCTACAGCGGAAATGTAGACTATAAAAATCATTCAGAAACACGCTGCAGGAAGATAACCTGTTGATTGGTGTACTTCCTCCCAGTCTGTCTCTTAATGAGGTTTTATCACAACTTCTTGGCTCAAATCTAAAGGTTAATTCAAGTTGGGCAGATGTAAAGTGAAGTGAAAAGGCAGCTTATTGGTATTTTTACCTTTACTGTTTAGGACACAGGTGGCAGGGTAAGGGAAAGGGAGCGGCAGGGTAGGTGCCAAAGATGTTTACATCAGTAAGGCTAGAATTCCGGAAATGCAAGCTGTCTGCGGTTGGTGCTTCTACCACCCTGGCTAGTGAAACTGGCTAGAGCAGAGCAATCTTTGGGCTTGCACATTCGCTGGTCTACCGATTTGTCCATCATACTTATCCAGCCAATGACTAATGCCAGAAGGAGGAGCTGCCTGGGCTTGAAACTCAGGAACGGAGTGCAGAGGCAGAAGAGCTTTTACTCAGTCTTCTGCGACTTCTTTCTGGCGCGCTGTTTTCCTTTTCCTGTGATTCAAGGCGGAAACAAGCTACCTCCTTTCCTGCTCCCAACCGGACCAAGGAGGACTCCTCCTCCCCTTTCTCATCCCCTTCTTCTCCTCCTGACTGACTAAGCAATAGTAAGGACTGCCGAAGAGATAATGGAAGAAACTCTCCATCTAAGTGGACAAAGTGACTGTACGATTAGTCAAAATGATGCAAATTACCCCTTATGTCTGAGTCTAGCGATACTGGTGCCCCCCTAATAAAAAACCTAAGGGGCCATGCGATAAGTTAGAAGCCAAATTTAAAAAGGAATTGCAAAAAAAAATAAATGAAACAAGATGGGTTCAGACAAAACATAAGAAACTCTTAATCTCACAAAACAAACTGAGGTTTGTTTCTGGGGGGGGGTCGGGAGAGGGTGGTGGGGTTATGGACATTGGGGAGGGTATGTGCTATGGTGAGTGCTGCGAAGTGTGTAAAGCTGGCGATTCACAGACCTGTACCACTGGGGCTAATAATACATTATATGTTTATAAAAGAATAAAAAAACAAATTAAAAAAAAAGAATTGCAGCCTCTTGGAAAAAAAGTATAAATCCTCACTTGATGAGGTAGGCATTTGTGCACACCAGCACATGTATTAATTAGGACAACGGGCCGTGTAATAATTTCAATACGCTTATGGATTACTTCAAATGTTGTTTTGTGCTTTTTGTAGAGTACATTTTTTAAAAATTAAAGTGAAATATTTAATTATTAAATGCATAGCATTTAGAAGTATACTTTTCTTCAAGAGATGCAGAACATAAATTTTCTAGAGCATCTTTGCTTATTTCTATGTAGTTTAGTCCTTACGATTTGTGTGTGTGTGTGTGTGTGTGTGTGTGTGTGTGTGATACAGCTTTTAGAGAGTGGGAAAATTATTAGAACTCTTCGCTGAAGCAAATATTTACTTGCAGCAAAAAAAAAAAAAAAAAAAAAAAAAAAGTACTTGGGGAGCCAATCCAAGTGTGTGTTTTGCCTCCAGCTCAGAAGTAGGAGAGTTTAAGCAGCTTGCTCCAGGCGTGCCTTCATTATTGTGCTGTAAAAATGTGTTTTGTTGTGAGATGGTACCTTACAAAATTTTATCGCTTGAATAAAGTAGCATAGAGTTAAGAACTTTCAAGAACACATTAATATCAATTCTCCTAGATGACTTTTTTAAATTTTTGTGTGACACATAGATTTATAAAGAAAAAATAAACATAATGAAGTTGTTTTTCCTTTGTAGTGCTGATAAAAGCTAGAGTTTGTAAGTGTTTCATTCACCTGTATTCATGAGTTATGTAAGTTAAGGTAATGGAGTATATTTTCTTTCCACTATGCTTCATTGAAAGTTGTCACTTGATCTCTGTTGTATTACATCTTCTGATTATGAAATATGTTCATTACAGAAAGTTTGGAAAGTATACTGAAAAGCATAAAAATTATTTTAAACAATTCGGCCTTCAAAGACAACCACACTTTACATAAAGATGTCTATAGCTTTATTATTATAACTACTATCTCTATCACTTTTCATTTAACATATTTTGTTTTAACATATATAAAGTGGATATGACATAATTTATTGCATCAGCTTCTTATCATGGGTATTTAGGTTAGGGACATCTTTTTCTAATTGGTTAGTAATTGTAAATACTGTCTTTGAATTAAGGAAAAATGTTGCACATATTGAAACATTTTCTCTTTTGATTTTATTCCTTTCTTCCCTGCAGAAGAGTTTTAATGTTAATACAGTCACATTGATCCTTTCTCCCCCTATAATAGATTTTGGGTATTTGACTTAGAAAGACCTTTACACATCAAGATCTTTTCTTTAATTGCCCATGTTTTCTTACAGTACTCTTATAATTTCATTTAATGCCTTAATCCTTCTGGAATAATTTTGATGTAAAGATAGAGGTAGATGTACCACATTTTTTTTCCTCTCAACACAACTCACTAGTTTTTTCAATACCATTTAATGAATATTAAATATCCAATGTAATTAATTGCCACCTTTATTATATAATCCATCACTTCATGTGTTTGGGTCTACTCCTGGTCTGTTCTGTTCAAAATAGTTATTCTTGAGCCAGTATAATCTTTTCAAACAAATCTCTGAAATACATTTTATTATCTGGTAAGAAAAGTTCCTTAAAAAACTTGTTCTTAAGTTTATTTTTTAGATATTTTCGCCTATTTATTCTTCCAGATGAGCTGCAGTATTGCTTTTTTTCGGGCTCCCTCCCTAAAACCTACGGATATTTTGATTGGAGTTTGTTTGAATTTATAGATAAATTTACAGAGAATCAATAATTGTATATTATTCAGCCTTTTTATCCAATGACAAGCTGTGTCTTCCCATTTAATCAAGTCTTTCTTATATCCTTCAGTAAAATTTTAAAGTTTACCTATTAAAATAGACTTCAAAAATATTCAGAACTTGTTCTTTAGTCTCTTCTTCCTTAGTCTGCCTTTTGCTTGTGCCGTTTTGCTTCTTGTTTTTGAATCATCTATACCTTGGTGTTGTCCCTTTCTTTCAGTTTTGAATTAGGGCATCTGTTTCTTGAAGGGTGATGTGTGAAGAGATAGGAAGAAATGAGCTTGAGCATCTCAGAAGCTTCAATTCATGTTTGTCTCATATCATTCTTTCTCTAAATTACTATATCTTCTGCCTGAGGCCATTTCTCTCAATTT